TGAAGGAGAAACAAATAATAGAATAACTGTAACCCTACTTTTGGCCCACCCTGTATATAGAATTATTTGTGACTTTTATAGTGTTGAATGTCTCTCATTTATCCCCAACACTCATATTTACCTAGTAGGCCCTTGAACCCTGGCTTTCTACTGTCATTGTCAGTGAAATACTATAGTAATTAATCCTTGCTTTACCTGCTGGTGAATTCAATTGTTTGCAAGGAGTAATAACTACCAGAGACCCTGTGGGAAGAAAAGTCTTGCTGAGTTGGTTCCAGTTTAATCCTTTCTTTAGCAGGTGTTTTCCTATGGTTCCGGCTGACTGCGAGATATTTATTTTCGAAAATAGTTTAACTACGTGTTTTACCTCAGGTACCCTAGTTATACTGAAATATTTTCAAATCAAACTGACTCTAACGAAAAATTCAACTCGAGAAAAGAAGAAAAAAAAACTTGCGAAATTCCGTTTGATTCAAGATCACTGGTGGACAGTTTTATACAATCTTTTTATTTACTATATTTCTGATCAGTTCTGTTTTAAGTATACGCTTTCTTTTGTACCAATTCATTTCCCCATTAAACGTGGTACATCAATCATTTGACTAATCTAAGAAGTCGTTATAAATGTTTAAACTTGTTTATAGTTAAGCACAAAGCTACACAATGGGCTATATGCGCTCTGCCCACCACGGGTATCGAAACTCGGTTTATAGCATTGTAAGTCCGCAGGCATACCGCTGTGCCACTGGGAGGCTTAAATTTGTTTAATAGAGAAGTCTGGCATGGGCTGTTGATCAGATCATTCGATTCGTAATCTGCGGGCACGGGTTTGACTCTTGCCATTGAACATGCACTTTCTATGTTCTAGTGACGTCACTACGTGACAGTCAATCTCACTATTCGTTGATAAAAAAGTAGCTCAAGAGTTAGCGGTGGGTGGTGTTGACTAGCGGCCTTCCATCTAGTCTATCATTTCAAAATTAGGGACGACTAACCCAGTAGGCACGATATTCAATAAACAAACTTTTAGTAGTGTTCTTTATCAACCTATATTTATGTTTAACAACTTTATAACAAGACATGTAGAAAAGCTGGGAATTTAAGTTATATATTTGAAAGTCATAGCTTGTAATAGATCATTCCATGTATTTTCGCGAATTAATGATAAATGAATTATAGAAAATAAATTAAAAAACAGAGTTCCCACCAGTGGCACAGCGGTAGATCTGCGGACTTATACTGCTTGAAACCGGGTTTCGATACCTGTGGTGGGCAGACCACAGATAGCCCTTCGTGTAGCTTTGTGCTTAATAAAAAAAAAAAACAGCATAAAATCATTGATTGGTTTTTAAAAAATGCCTGCTTTATTACGTCAGCTTCTACGAGTGATATTTTGACATAAGACAACTTTACGAAATACATTAAATGTAAAAAAAAATATATTTGGTTTACCAAGAATATATATAAAATAATCGCTTCTTCGTTTTTTGTTGGTGATGATCTGGGATCATACCAATCCTTTTAAATATTGCATCTCATGCAATACATTCAAATTAGTGCGTTCGCAGTTTTACATTGCTGAACCTTTAGAATAAAGTAATATATAGTGATACATTGCCTTATTAGAACCCCCTCACACATATGCGCATGCGTAGAGTATTTCATTTATTTTCGTATGTAAAGTCGACTGGCAATATAATAATGTCACGTGATTGTTTGAGCGTTTAAAATACAGAGCTGCAGTTATAGTATGATTAGTATGCGCCAAGTGATATAATAGTGCGAGATATGTTCTAGTGTCGGATATTTGGTATTTCGACTCCTTTAAATTAGCGTGCCGTACCGTATATTCGAGGGATTACGGTTTGCGTTTTTACCAATGTTTTTAGCCGCGGCATAGCGGCTCATAGAATGGCTCTGAGTTTTTTTAAGTACAAACTCTTAGCTCATAGCTTCGTCATCTCTTGACCGATTTGAGATCTAATTGCAGTTTTGGACTCAAGAGGTCAAACCCTTTCGATTGACTTATTTGATCACGTCTAAGGTCTCATAGATTAATTTATTCTAATCCTGTCTAAAATAATTTCGATTTTAGAGTAGACTGGTAAAGATCTTGATAAGTAATAAAATCGAATCGAGTATATGCGCGACCCATGGTTGGTATTGCTGGCACACAAAAATATACGTAATACAAATGAAAAAAATTACTCTAATCTTACCTAAAATAATTTCAAGTGCCGCGGCTGTTGAGGATTCCCTCTTGTCAAAAGAATAAAGCATTCAAACATATAACACAGATTATATATAAAGACAAAGTAGAAAAATATAACATCTTGAAACAACCAGTAAAGACAGGAACTTAACTGAATAACTTTCTGAAGTGGCACAGCGGTATGTCTGCGGACTTAAAACGCTAGAATCCGGATTTCGATACCCGTGGTGGGCAGAGAACAAATAGCCCATTGTGCTTAATTACAAACAAACAAATATATAATCTGAATTTTTGTATCAACTACATTTGTCTTGAGTATCCACAGATTATTCTTAATTTGTTTAGCCTTATTGTTTCGTGCACAAATGTGGCTCACCTACCCTACCTTCTGTAGTAAAAGCCGTGTATAAAATATCTGCAGTTGAATGTTTCAATAGAACTGTATTAATGCATGTGGCATAAAATCTGTCCGTCAAATAGACTCTCGTGTTATGATAGAAATGTATTAGCAACGAGAAAAAGTAAAACCATCAGATGAATTTAATGCGAAAAATGTATACACTTAAGCATGGCCTCCTTACGGAGGTATTATCTCAGAAATAGTTTGGTGTAAAGAAATAACGAATGTATATATTATAAATACGGATTTCCCCATGGACTAGTGGTTAGCTTGCTCAGACTGTAAATTCTAGGGCTTGTGGGTGGGCTTATAAGAGTAATGGTCAACTCCCAATATTTCTTCAGACTAGAGAAGCCTAAGAGTTGGAAGTGTATGATGTTGACTAGGTAGTTTCCATTTAACTTATCACTTCAAGATTATGGGCGGCAATGTGCGGATAGCCATTTGTGTAGCTTTTTGTGAAAATAAAAGCTACAGTACTATATTTTCAAATTATGAGTCAAATATTAACTTATATTATCACCAGATGACACTTCGCTTTACGTAATTAAAAGTAATGATTGTTTGTTTGTAATTAAGCACAAAGCTACACAATGAGCTATCTGTGCTCTGCCCACCATGGGTATCGAAGCCCGGATTTTAGCGTTGTAAGTCCGCAGACATACCGCTGTTCCACTGGGGGGGAAGGGACAAAAGTAATGAAACCAGAAAATAATAATAATAGGTAACAATGAAATTTACTAAAAGAAATGTTAAAAATAGTTAGTATTAAATAAATTTATTATATGACGTAGTCGCCTACACTTTAGTTTGTCAGTTCCAAATTAAGGACGAGTAGCTTTGCGTTAAATTCTGAAACAAACAAGAAAAGAATGTAAGGATTTATCACTCGTAACCTTCAAACGTTTACTGAAACATACAAAACACTGTTACATGAAACACAAGCAAGACACTTACTTGTACGTTTCTTTTTCTCAATTTTTATTTCAAATCTGAAACTGTTCTTCTGTAGTTAACATTGTCAGTTCAGGTCAAATTCCTAAGGTGCCGAGCCTGTCTGTCGCTTGAACTTAAGACCCTTCAGAATCTGTTGATAAAAGCAACCAAAGTCTTTGAAGATGCACTAGAACTTTGATTTCTCTTCATATACTGTGACAAATGTCTAAGATGAAGTTGGTCTAGATATCAAATGATCTTTACGTACTGAACGTTCATAATACTTTCTTCAAACAAATGAAGCCATCTAATGATAATCAATTTACTTATTTCAGGATTTTTCAAAATTACAACCAAAGAGCATTCTGAGACATATGTGTTTCAGTAAAATATTCGTTCTGTTTTAAGGGATAAACATGGCAAATTTTTATTTAAATTCATTAAATAGAGTACTTAAAAAAAGTTTTAAAATGAGCTAAGTTAATAAGAGGTATTCAAATTCGATGACGAGGAACCCACTTTGAGACTAATAATGCTTGGAGACAGCTTGAACGGGTAACGAAGAAAAACTTTAATATAAGTTTAACATAACAGCAAAAGTACAACGTTTCGACAAGGTTTTGTCATCATCAGGTGATGTTAAACTTATATGTTATGTTAAACTTATATTAAAGTTTTTCTTCATTACCCATTCAAGCTGTCTCCAAGCATTATTAACAAGAGGTAGTCATAATAATGTCCTCTTTTCTTATGAAAAATAATAAATTTAAAGCTTTCATGTGTCATTTAATAATCCAAATTAAAAAAAAAGATGATTAAGCAATCATTATAAAAGGTAATTAATATTAACTTCCGTTAATATGTGCTTAGAGCGAACTAAAAATAAACCTGACAATCAGTATAGCATGCTTTATTTAATCATTTGGGTATTTTCACTGTTAACGATATTTTCGACAGTAATCCCAATAATATCTCACAAGGTTCGGCCAGCTTAGGCGATTCAGGTCAGTCTTAAATACATAGATTAAGCTAACAATGCAAAATTATCTCTATAGTAAAAGTATAATAATAAAATTTTAAATTAAAAAGTAACGACGTTTGATATATTAGATACTATAACCAATACTGTTAATGAAAGTAACGGTAAGGAAATAATATAGTACATGTATACCTTAATTAGGGACCACAGAAATACACTATTTGTTGGTTTAAACTACTATCGTAAAAAATATGCTAACTTTTGCTTTTTTTCGGGCAGTACCTTCTGAACTAAAGGGCTAACCCCCTAGCAATTGAATCCGACACTGCTAAGTTCGCAGAATAAGCTTTCTTGCCATATCGCCATTTTATAACACTAGACACAGGTTCGTTAGTCAGTGTGCATCGAGAAAAATTGCTATTGTTACTCTATACGTATAAAAGACAAGAAAATGAAGACGAAAACAACGAAATGTAGCAGAAAACATCTAGAAAAACCGCTAATGTTACTCTATACAACAAATTATGTAAATACAAACAAACAAACGACAAGATGGTGTATTTTTAAATAAACTTTTCCTTTCAGCATATACAAGAAAAGTACTTCTGGATATGACTGTAGACCTTTGTGTTTACTTTTTCTGTCTAATGAATTCTTAAAAACTCTAGTGAAGTATTTCCATTTATATTGGTTAACAATAACTAATTGCTGTTAGTCTTTGCAATTTTATCAGAGAGAGATTCAAAAGTTCGGAAAATAGAGGATTCTTAAAAACTCTATTGAAGTATTTCCATTTATATTGTTAACAATAACTAATTGCTGTTAGTCTTTGCAATTTTATCAGAGAGAGATTCAAAAGTTCGGAAAATAGAGGATTCTTAAAAACTCTATTGAAGTATTTCCATTTATATTGTTAACAATAACTAATTGCTGTTAGTCTTTGCAATTTTATCAGAGAGAGATTCAAAAGTTCGGAAAATAGAGGATTCTTAAAAACTCTATTGAAGTATTTCCATTTATATTATTAACA